AATATATAATGGGCATGAAAGGATGTCCCAAATAAAAATACAAAACAGTGTATTAACAGTATTTAAGGTGCCGCCATAATAATTATAAAAGATACATGATCAATTGGCACTTTGGTGCAATACAAGTATAGTACTTTCTCATTTAATGTACATAGGGCAAATTAAGACTAATGGGGAAAAATATATCGAAGGATAAGTATGATGGACCTACTAAGAATAATTGCAATGATAGTATTAAAGATTTATGATTGAACTGAGAAGGTATGATCTGGTCCTTAGGGATTATGAAATTTAATTCGTCATTAATTGGTTATAAGATATCTATGTATAAATTGTGATATCTTTATAGTATTATGTCTCACTAAGTAAATACTTAACGTGTGTTGATTTCACGCGTAGGGACAATCAAGGTTTTGCCGAGTAAGGAGTGCAGCAGTAACAACTTTTATCAATTAAAGGTTGACTCATCAGTAACATTAGGGCAATCTTATTCATTTTGAGAACTTAGTTGGTATGTAATTAAACTATAGTAAATATTTTGTAATGTATTTAAGTGATAGTTTTAGTATTTTTCTTCTATGAATATCATATTGTGTAGTTGTTCAAATTGAAATAAAATTTTACGGGTTTTCAAAGGTTAAAATGTTTTATAAAGTGATGTGACATATGTATCTCGTGTATGGAAAGATATACGGGATATGGGTGTTACAAAAGCCCTTGAAATTTAAAGGTGTTATGTGAAGGAAATCCTACCTTGTTGATTGGAGATCCCAATATATAGTTTCAAAAGAACAACCTAATTGTATAACCCGTGTAAGGTCACTACGGGGTTTCTTATCCCAAGTTTATTCCTTTTATTGGAACAGTGATCAAAGTGGTATAGGTTAAGCAAAAGAATTTTATGATCATTGTGTGTTGCGGTGAGCCGAACAACATAATTCACCTATGTGAGAGTGAAGTAGGGTCGCTTCAAGAAGACTATTAAGCATAGTTATCTCAAACTCTTGCAGAACTAGGTAGATGTCCATGGCTTTAAAGATATGCTCATGGGAACTAAATTTTTGTCAGAGGGGTGGTTATGTGAAGTATGTCATCGTTTACACAAACGACAAAACAGTTCAAGGATATCACTTCTACTATTTAGCTAGTGAAGTAAATATATTGTCACGAGGGAAGGTTTAAAGGAGGACACTTACCTATCATATGCAACTATATATTGTAGAGGCTATCACCACATCATGACAAACTGTTTTTGATTAAATCATCAATTTCTTTCATGTGGGAGAATGTTGGAGAAAATTGTGAATTCCTTTAATGTATTTAATATTTATATTAAATTCAGAGTCCCTTTAAATATTGAAAATTAAAAGATATTATTTAATTTGAATATTAATAGTATAATTACTCTTTGAATATATCAATTTAGAAAGGTATTTATTATCTTTTTAACTTAGAATATCAAAGATAATTATATACTTTTGAATATTTCAAATTAAAATAATATTTGTTTAAATTTGAATAATAAAAGGAGTGTATATATGTTTAATATTTTAAATTTAAAAGATATTATTATCTGTTTAAATTTAGATATTAAAAGATATCTTGTTGGAGTTAAACTCTCTTGAAAAATATTTTCTCTCCTTATAAAATATAATTTTCTCCTTAGTTTTTTCGGTATTAGTCGAAGGTAATGATGGTTCGTGATCTCTATTATTGTGCTACTGTAGTTGATCATCTAGTTTTTGTATCCTAAGAGACAGACGATCAAATGATCTCGAGCACAAACGAGTGGCCAAAAATTTATCTTAAGAAAATTATGTAGCGACATGCCTCAACTGATTCCGATCACAAGATCAAAAATAAAAAGATTATTTTATCTTCCTTTTTATTTTCCTTAATTTTTAAAAATTTGATTTCTTCTTTTATTTTTCTCAGTTTCGAATTCCGTCTCAGATTGTTACTTTGTTTAACAAAATTTGATTTTCGTTGTCTTGGTGCCCTCCTAAGGGTTTCTTCAAGATAAATGTTGACAGGGTTGTGGATAAGTTTTGGACTAAAGGGGGAATATGTGGTTTACTAAGGGATGAAGATGGTACGGTGTTGGGGACCTTCTCTAAAAATGTTGGTTCGGGCCCTCCAATTCTGACAGAACTGTTGGCTATCAAATCCGATTTATTATTCTTAATGAATTCTAATTGGAGAAGTGAATACAACAAAGCCTTAGATTGGATCAAGATTTCGGATTCTTGTTCTGCTTTATTTATTTCGCTAGTGAAGGAAATTGGGTCTTTGATAGTAGATAGGAATGTTATTCCAAGACATGTCAATAGAGTTATGAATTGTGAGGCGGATGTATTAGCTAAGATAGGAATTGGATGAGCTTGTGTGCATGTTTTTTTTTGTTTTTCTAGGAGGTTTATTTCTGCTGTAAGGTGGTGTTGTCATGGTCATTCTGTATTGTTTTTCTTGGTTGGTAATAAAATTTCGAGGCACTTTTTCCTTCTTTCAATGTCCGTTGAGATATCATAGTGTTTTGACGGTTATGACGGGTTTTTAACGAGGCTTTACTTTCTTATCAAAAACAATTCTATCATGATGAAAGTGTCAGCTTACTGAAAATTTGCTTGAATATCTTTATCTTCTCAAGTATCATAGCGATGATTCATAGGAGACTATGGTGTGCCAATAATGATTCTGGTATGGACGGCTGTTTCTTATATAACGTCAGGAAATATTCCGAAAGGAATTCCGAGGCGTATTTTCAGTCCTAATCCATGGTCCCCAAGTGCATATGAAAATTGGACTGTCATGAAGGCAAATGAGTCATCCTTTTTGACTTTTATAAAAAACTTGTTTCTTTTTGTTTGCTTTTTGAAACGAAGACATTGATGAATGATGATTAATGGCAAAAACTAACAGGACATGCTAAAGGTTCCGGTGCTATATATAATCGGAGCTTTCATTCCAGCAACAATGATCACCGTCCTGTATTATTTTGATCACAGTGTAGCTTCACAACTAGCTCAGCAGAAGGAATTCACTTTGAGGAAACCACCGTCCTGTATTATGTTCCATACTTTATCCATTTTGATACGTGCTTTGTGTTCTGCGACTTTAATCGTGTTTAGTATCGAGTTCGCTCAACTTAATGTATAACTTTGGTGATTGATGGCAGACGATATTATGTGGTCTTGTTGGGATCCCTCCGTCAAATGGTGTCATCCCCCAGTCTCCTATGCATACCAAAAGCTTAGATACATTGAAGCATTGGGTAATTATATCGAATTAGTTGTCAAGTGCCTCAGTGTCATTATTCAGTGTGTCACGGCCATGAACATCGATGGATTAAAACGTTTTTTTTTCTGGTTTTATCAGTTGCTTCGAAACAGAATAGCAGCAACAGCCCGCAAATGTATGCATAATAATGCAAGCTTAGGACAAGTGTATGACAGCATGCAGGAAGCCTATCAACAAATGCAGAGTCCATTGGTTTACCAAGAACCTGCTGCTAGGGTACCGACCACATTAGCACTGTTAAGACCCCTTTTCGGACCCTGTAAGTTCAAAAGGTTTTAATTGTTTGTCAAGTAACCTGGCCTAAGCTTCTTTTCTGAACAGGGATTGAATGAACTTAAAACATTAACGATTCATATGGCTTCAAGCATGGGAAATATTGATGCCCCAGTTGATGAGACAGTATTTGACGTTGAGAAGGAAATGATGATCTGCTGCCTATCGAAGTAAAAGAACAGCGGCTAAGTAACTTGCTTCAAGCGATATGGTCGGAGGATGCATTGCAGCAATGCCTTTCATTAAAAGGATCCCGACCTCTGTGCTTTGGGGCTACTTTGCATTCGTGGCCATCGAAAGCTTGCCTGGGAACCAGTTCTGGGAGCGGATATTGTTGATTTTCACGGCACCGAGCAGACGATACAAGTAAACTCTTAAATCCATTTGATTTATCATCTTGAAGAGCACTCAATTTTTTTTTAACTGAATCACATTTGTTTCAGAGTATTGGAGGAGTACCATGCAACCTTTGTGGAAACTGTGCCTTTCAAGACAATGGTCGTATTTACTATCTTCCAAACTGCTTACTTGTTAGTTTGTTTTGGGATTACTTGGATCCCACTTGCTGGGGTTCTTTTCCCATTAATGATCATGCTTCTTGTTCCTGTGAGACGATACATTTTGCCCAAATTTTTCGAAGGGGCACATCTTTAAGATTTAGATGCTGCAGAGTATGAGGAGCCATCAGCTGTGCCGTTCAGCCTTGTCACTGTAAGTTTTTGTAATTCTTTAACCCCTGATAAGCTTACTCAAACCCGAGTGAGTGTCGGATAAGGATGAGGATCATATCCTCGTACCCATGTCCGAGTGTGTCTTGGACATGTTCCTAGGACATTCGGCTGATCTACAGCCTAACACAAATGGCATTGCGACCATTTTCTATTCATGCCTTGTTTTCAACTGCAGGAAGGAGAGCTGACTACGACCGCTTCTTTTGCCGATGATGGAGAGATTTTACATGGAATGATAACACGGAGCAAGGGTGAAATCATATGCCTGTGCAGCCTAAAGCAAACAAGCTCTACTGCAACCAAAGAGGGCACTGAGATTGAGAGCCCACGACTCCCGGAACAGGGGTACAGCACCGGAGCAAACGGAGTGGAGCTAAGAAGTCCTAGGAATGTTACAAGAGGGCCATTTAGTCCAAGAACAAATGAAACCTGGCTATCGAATCTAGGAAAAAGTGGTTAAGAATATGGTATTAATGAAGTAATGGACCAAAGCAGCCGAAAGAAAAGTATAGGCAGATAATAGACTGATGAACATCAAGGAAATCTAGAATGCATTTCCCTCATATCTACCATTCTTTTGTTCAATACATTCTTTTCATCTGAATTGACCGACCAAAACCGGATGACCACAAAATAATGCTATTGGTTAGTAAAGAAAAAAACAATAATTCTATGAAAAGTACATTTTAGGAACGCCATTCTTGATGCAATCATGAGTTCTATATATGTATCGGTAATGCGTGAATGCGTGTATACATTAATATATTGGTGGAGGATTGCAAAGCTAAATGAATGATGAATGGTATACATGCATTATACAGAGAGGGAAACGGAACACCGGCATCCTTATGAGATGATGCAACTGTCTTCAACTCGCATAACTTTGAACTACTCCAGTATAATGCATCATACAATGTATATTAAGTAAATAACTATGGCAAGTTTCATTAAACATGATCCATAACACCATGAAAATCATTAGAGACCCCAAAATTCAAGCCTCTCTTTACTACTAGGTTGAATAGTCGTGAAAACTCTCCGGTACCGATATATCAAATAAAAAACGGCAACACTATCAAGAGTTATTGCTGAATTTTCTTCCAGACAGCTTCTCGGACTCGTAGAGTATGTGGTTAATTAGTCCCCTTGCAGCACTGCAAAAGCAAACAACAAAAATTAAAACAATGCTATGAAAGAGTTGAAATTCAATACAATGCATAAACATCTAGCAATCATATCTCCATCAATCCAGAATGAGGATATGAAGTTGCATATCTTCAAATTTCAAGCTGAATTGATAATAAGATTGTTCTCTCGTAATTTATCACCAATATATTAACTCCATTCTTCTACGACAGACCAAGCAGATACCCCAAATAAATGGCTTTAAATGTAAGAAACAAGACAAACTAAGACTTACTCATCCTTCAACTTCTGAATCTTCTCTGGATCTGTCTCGTGCATTCTCACCATATCAACAACCAGTGCAGTATTATGTTACTGCACAATAAATTAAATATTGGCTTAAGTTATTTTCCATAAGTTCACAATATATTAGAGACAAAATCAACGTATGGCTTTGTTTCATGATGTTTGTAACAACCCAAATTCCGGACTAGTAGTAGACCTCGTGAATTTAATAAATTAAGTTGTTGGGTTTAATTGGGTTGGAATTAGGGCAAATTAGTCATCAAAGAAGGTTATCGAATTATAGAAAAATAAGGAAGGACCAAGGATGCAATTAATCCATTTTCAAAAAGATGAATGCTTTTATTTTCTTCATCTTCTAATTCTCTTCATTTCTTCCTCCTTCTAATTTTCATCCCCTTCTTCCTCTCCAAATTTCCATAACACAAAGGTAAGATCTTGAGCTCTTTTTATGCTTCATTTTTGTCCTAAATTCATCTAGCAACCTTAGTTTAATGAATTAAAGTCTTGGTTTAATCCTAGCTAAAGAAAAATGAGGGTTTTCATCCAAATCACCAAGGAAAGGATTTTGGCTAAGCAAGGAGCTTAATTTCGGAATTCAATCATCAAGGTAGTGTATTTCTAATCCTTTGGAGTATTAAGCATTTGCTAAGATTTGGTGATTTTGAGCATATTAGGGTTTACCTTTGATTTCTTAAGCAAATCAAGTTTTACGAGTTAATAATGCATTTTTATGTTATCTTAAAACCCTAAACAACTTACTAAAGCTTCAAAATAAGTTTAGAAAACAAACCAAGTCATTCAAGATGATTTTTGAGTGATTCTCATGCCTAAATAAACCATTTCAGGGCTTGAGGTTAAATTGGGGCAAAAATTAGGGATTTGGACCAGGGGCAGTATCGATACTCAGGGTGACAATATCGATACTGACGCCCCTTTTTCGCAATAGAATGCATTTTTGGTACTGATACTCATAAGGGTATCGATACTTGACCTAAGGGTATCGATATCGATACTTCAAGAAGAGTATTGATACTACTCACTTGGGATGGTTAGATTTGACCCGTTTAAGGCCCGCAAGGGCTAAGTATGATCTGTAATAGTAAGACTTAGTCTGTGAGGGACATAAATGACCAAGCATACCTAGAAACACATGTAAGAGCATGTTACATCAGGTGTAACCATATTAAACGTAATACGCCGAAATATCTTCAATCGAGGACGTATACAGATAGTTGGGACCGAGGATCGTTACAAGGGATATCAGACAAATAGTAAGATGATTATGTCATATTTAGTGGTAGTGAAAGACATGGGCTTTGAGAATGTCAGTGAACCCAGGAAGAGTAAGTCGTGCTTTACAGTTCAAGATATTCTGAAGGGAAGTACGATAAGGTCGAATAAAGTACTGCTACTCAGAAATGAACCCGAGCTAACTATAGAGCTAACCAGTTCCACAGTTGATAAATAAGCCTTCGCATAATGTTCTAGATGAGAGAACGAGCGAGATAGCAGCTAGTGTGACGTTGACTTCACTATAGTTAGTCCAACTATGTTAAGGTATACCCAGGTTACCTTAGTTGCCCTAGTGGGCATTACCAGTGTGCGAGGCACGTCAGGGGCTAACTAGGGTGCGAGGCACGAACACTCGCGAGGAGTGGGTTAGCGATGTCAGTGTTATGTGGCCTGTAGGCCTTAGGTATGCATGAGTAGTTATGTCAGTTCAGTACAGTCAGATAAGCCTCCGATGTAAGAAAATTCCGATTCTTGCCCCTAAGCTATTCCGTATTCAAGGTAGGTTGGGTGTTGTTCCGAGATGCACGTAAAATTCCTTCGACCACTCCACCAAACCTACCTCATGTTTGTTTGTTTAAGTCATGCGTGTATAATTCCATCAGTCTGGTATGTCAGATAAGTTAAAGCTTGGCTTGAAAGCTATGTGAGACTGAGTCAATGTTTCAGTTAGATGGGAATTGTACTGATGCTATGTGACACCGAGTTCCCCTCAGTGATCTACTTGATGGCTATGTGAGGACTAGGAGATCATCCAGTATGTTTTGTGGGAATTGCACCGATGATATGTGACACCGGCTTCCCTCAATAACTAGTGTCTGATGGTTGTATGAGACCATATACAAGTTAGATTTGCATTCAGATAATGCACAGTATGTCAAGTTTGCATTCAAATAATGCACAGGAGTATCAGTGTCGCATTTAGGCAGTACATGCATTAGGATTAGAGATCCTTTAAAGGAATACTTATGGCGAGACCCTTAGTAGAAGATTAAGGGAAGCGTGAGACCCCTACTTCAGTGATAGAGCAGTAAAGCCTTAAATAGGTAGCACTTGATCTAGTTCATGCATGTACTTACTGCTTAGTATCATGTCTTCAACATGCTTATGTTTATGAAATTCTTATGCTGCTCTAGATTAGCGATTATACTGCTAGGCTTTATAAGCTCAACCTTCGGATGTTTTCCGTTGGTAGGTCAGTAGTTGAGTCGTTCGTGGAGCACCATCGCAGTAGGACTTCCAGCATCTCCGTCAGAGTACTATATTGTAGCTTTAGTGAGCATGTGTATTTATAGAACCTTACTCATGTATTCAATTTATTAAACTCAAAGTTGTATTATTTTGGTTTTAAATTATGTGTCACGGAGCTCCGATTTTGTAAAATATTTTATAATTGTTATTTATGTTTTATCTATGATACCATTCAGTATGTTTGAAAGAAAAATGAACAGATTTGGCAACATAAGAGAGGTTAACGGCTTAATGCACAATATGATTCTTCTGACCAAATTTCCATCATCATTTGAAAGCACTTCCCCAGTTTTATCAATGGAAATCTAAACATATTCACCATCATCCTTGTTTTTCTCTTCTGGGATGTATTAATTCAGAGGTAAACTCCCCTTAGGCAAGCAAATAAAATCTTAAAAAATGACCAGTCGAAGACCAGTTTATCGCGATTTAGAATATATAATCTGCAAGGGACATTTTTATTGCAGCCAGCGTATCAAGAAAGATGAGAATAGAACTAAAAGGACCCCAATCAGGTTGAACTTTAACATGGAAATCAGCCTGCAATTCACTTCTGCAATAACTCTCACCATTTATCTTGCTAACAGTATATGATATCAAACCACGAAACAAGGAGATTCAAGGTAAGTATACCGTATACGGTAAATAAATGAAACAATAAATGACCTCAAAATTGTTAAAATGTAATATTTTCACAGACTGAACAACTCCTTCGAGCACAGAAAACAGGATAATTATGAAGGATGATTGAGGATACCTTGATCCCTATATATTTAGCTCTCCGAAGACACTCACGGTAAAGCTGAAGCGAAGAATTAAATCGCAACCGAAGATTAAAAAGCATCAGTTTCATTACAGTGTATTTACGGATTCAAATAACAGAAAACAAAACAAGGTAAAGAAGGATACTAACTCTGATGACATTGTTAGCAAGCTCAGGGAGGAGCGCTGTTTGTAAAGACGGCATTTCTTCTTCTTATCTGATCAAATAATTTGCAGACATGGCAATAAATTAATAGTGCACGGAGAAAATCGAAATTTGAACCTGGAAAGAATAAAGAAACGGTAAAACTGAAGAGCTGAGCGAAAATGAATCGAAGGAGATGATGAACTGGAAGATCGAACCTCGTGCGGCAGCTTAGCACCAGGAACTGGAAGAACCGGCGAAGGATAAAGTGGAACCAAACGTTCTAATACTTGGGCCTTCTATGAATTTATATTGCTTCAGTTAGACTTTAAAACTCAGCTGAACATATGGCCCAATCCAATGAATATCATATTCAGGGATGATAATGTGTCGGATTTTCGATCGATCCAAGTATTATATTTTTATCGATTTAAAAAAATTTAGTGATTCGATTTGAGTTGAGAAAATTTTTATTCGATCTAAATTTTAAGATAAAAATTTGCATTTTGGACCCGACCTAGATATAAAATTTGTATTTATATTTGGCAAAATAAAGAGTTAATTGAAAAAAATATAGAAAGGAGTATTATAGTAATTATTTTTAAATGTAAAGATAAAATTATACTATTATTTTAGGTCATGTCAGATATTTTTTATCCTAAATCCGACCTCGACCCACCTCATCCTTCACAAAATTTGATTATAACTTTTAACTTAATTCTTTTAAAATTTTTAAAACTTTTATTAAATTTAATTTCTTTATAAATATTTTTAATTAAATTCTCCTCTATCTTTTTAAATTCTCCTTTACTTTATTAAATGACTTAATATAAAAATAAGTGCATAAACTATACTCAAAAATAA